GCTGTGGTCCCTTCGCTGCAGTGAACTCCTGCCGCCTGCTTCCCGGGCATCAGCCACCAGGATCCAGAGCCAGAAAGCCAGGAGCCCGAGTGTGGGATCAGAGACCCGGCTAAGGTCCTGGGCAATCCCGCGGGTTGTTCTTCCTTCACCTGCCCGAGTTCCACAGAGGACTGTCGTAAGAGTTCAAGGAGATAGTGTTCTAAGTGCTTGACATGTGGTAGGTGTTCAAAAAAGAATCTCACCAAGATGTTAACATAGAGCACAGACCCCTGGAGGCATGGGACACCCGACCATCCCGTTTCAGGGGAGGGGCTAACAACCTTCTGGAGAGGGGTGGAGTATGGCAGGGTGGGATGGGCTGCAGAACTGGTTAGCATCTAGCAGGGGCACGAGGGCATCAGCGGGGAGATGGCTCAAATGCCAACTACTGGGTAGACCCTGCTGTGGGCCCAGAACCTCATGGTGTCTGAACACCCTTCTCATCTATCCATCGATTTACTCCTAAGGTTGGGGGGTGTCTTAGAGTGAGAGACAAGGACAGCATCATGATCCCCATTTTACAGACACAGAAACCAAGATCCAGAAAGGGGAGTAATCTGCTCAAGGTCACAGCTAATGATTGCACCCACCCACCCACAACTTCATCAGATACTCAGTGAGCGCCTGGTACATACAGATGCCAGGTCACACCTTGGGCATACTCAGAGATAGCTGGAACCAGACCCCGGGGCAGGGGCACCCAGTCCCATGAGTTCTATGCTAAGATCACCATGTAGCTTTCAGGCCAGGATCACTGATTCAACTGACGGTCAGTGTTAGTCAAGCCCAAGTAAGGAGCAGAGACACAGCCCTCCACGGATGGTCTCCAGCCCTTTGGCCCTGCCCCCTCCGACTGGAAGGGGCCTCCTGCAATGTTTCTCTGAAAGGTGGGCAAAGAGCAATCAAGGGAACCAGAGCCAGGAGATTATTGGGTCCCACCAGGTTCTTCACTTTCTAAGCCCAACTGCAAAGGCCATATCTACTGTCCTGTGGGAAGATGGCTGTTCCCCTGGGCTTGGGGCCCAGGAGGCCTGACATTGTCTGAGCAGGGATTCCAAAACTTCAAGTCACCAGAGGACAGGTGAGTAGAGATGTTCCATTCCGTCCATTCCCCCACTTTTCTGGGACAAAGGAAGTTACTTCCCCGTTTCTCTGCCAGTGCCACACTGACATCTGCCCCCTGGGCATGGGATGATGATGGGCTAAGGGGCAGGGGCCAGGGGGAGTCATTCCAGGGTTGTAAAGAGGGCGGGGCATGGGGAGGGTGTTATCTGAGTACCGTGCAATTTCCCCAACTCTCTTCCCTGCGGCCAGGCGGTCACACTCGCTGGACGCCTGAAAGACAAACGCTGAAGCCACGGCTTTTCCTCTTTCTCTTCACGCGATCCTGCGGCCGCCTGCCACCACCAACCCCGAGCACTCCTGTCTCTGCTCTTTGCGGTTCCCTTTTTCATTTGCTTCCTTGTTCTTGTGGCTCCTGGTCTTAGAATCAGGAAACCTCATTTTGAATTCCAGCTCTATCATTTGGAGTGGAATGACCACATATGGCCCTACATGCTTTGAGCCTCAGTTTCTTCATCTGTAAAATAAGTATAATGATACCCCATTGCCATGAGGATCGGATGACATAATGGATGGGAAGCAGTTTGGTAAACTGTAATCGGCCACACCTGCTTGCAGGCTTGCCATTAATGCCCCGGGCTTCCTGGACACCCAAGAAAGAAGAGCTGGGGGAAGCAGCCGGACTCCAGGGCAGAGTTTGGGGCCATGCATTTGAGCCCTAACTCAGCCCTCTGGCTCTCCACGCAACCGTGGGAAAGCCCGTAACTTCTGAGCCTCGGTTTCTCCATCAGTAAAAGAGTCATGAGACGCTTTTGCCCCCTCCAGCCAAGGAGAGGAGTTGCTCGTAAACAGTGATTGCTCACCCTGTCTGTGAGAGATGCTTCTGAGTGCACCCCCGCCAATTACAGTTTATTGAGCACACATGATGTGGTCTCGCCGGCTGGGTAAACAGACCTTTTAAAGGTGTAGGCCTTTCCCAGGAAGAGGGGCCAACCTGACACAGCCGTGTGGAGGAGCAGCCGAGGCACCGTCTCACCACACGTGCTCCTCTGCTCCTGAACTGACCTGAGCAGAAATGATCGCTGGATCTTGCCCCTGGCACAAGCCACCCTCACCCCAAGGGACCCTAAGTGACCAGAAAGGAGGAAAGAAACCCTTCCTCATCATATCTGGTGTGCTGGGCTGCCAAGAGCTGCTGATCTCTGCTTCTCAATGCCTCTTGCAACTGTCCCTCCTTCCTGCTCCTGCCATCCTCCTGGAGGTGTCGGTGGGGAAAATGGAAGCTCCTGTGGCCAGGATCCTCACCTGAACCTAAACTACTTGGTGATGTAATTGGCCTGCTGCTAGGCTACTGCTTCCACACCCGTGGGCAATAAGCTATTATTGACTAAGTCACTATATAAAGAGCTCTGCCCGGTGCTCTGGGCGGAGGCAGAGAGAAGGAGGGCTACAGACCTACAGGCTGTTGGATGCGGACATAATTCTACTGCTCGACCCACAACTGGGAGAACAAGCCAGGTAATAACCCCTTGTACCCCATGAATGTTCCATTGTCATTCCTCAGTCTCACTGAATCCACAGTGAACTTGCCCAGGGCTGAAACCCATTGGCAGGATAGTGTCCCTGGGTGGCAAAGTCGCAGTAACCTCCTAACTGGCCCCCGTGCTGTGGTGCGGCTTTCTTCTCCCGTCCATCCCGCTTACTGCTGTTGGATCGACCTTCCTAAAATACTCCTGTGGTCTCTCAGTTTCCGCTTGGCACCTTCACTGATTCCTTATAGCCTGAAGGATAAACTTCAAGCTGGATGCAGTGTGACCCAGAGGGGAAATCAACTTCAGAATCGAGAGCCTCCTGCCTCTGCCCTTGATGGGCAGGTGAGCTCAGCTCCCCTGAGCGCCAGTGTTCTCAGCTGCCAAATGAGACCGTTAGAATCGATACTCCACTACTGTGATTAAACTTTAAAATCTCGGAAAGCTATTCAGTGTACGTCAACCCCCCTCTGCTTTTCGTGCTGACACCTGCCTCCACAGCAAGGGGCACAGGCACCTAACTGCGGCCCCAGCCGGAATTCCAGGGCACTAGCCCTACAGCCTGGAGGGCTCTGCGAAAGGTGAAGGGTTTGAGGGTAATAAACAGGCTCCTGACCCCCCAGGCATAAGGCTTCAAACAAAAAGGGAAGGTGAAATCTACTCCAAGTACTGGGAGGGTGGAGAGCGCCAGGAAGGCGGAGAACTTGCCCTGAAATACAACACAGGTTCCTGATGTATAAGAAAGACTTTTTTAGGTAACTGAGTGTATCATTTAAGTGGCTGTGGATCAGCCCCTAGGAACCTGGTCCACTTCCTTCAGAGAAAAGATTGTAAAACCAATAAAAACCAGGCACTAGCTGCCGGGCTCCTGCTCTGGTAGCCAGGGGCCGTGAGGAGCCACGGACGCAGAGCCTTGGGTGGGGCACAGCATCAGTGTGACTTCATGGCCAAGTTACCAAAACCCGCAGGGTCCGCCAAAAAAGAGGATGAGTCACCAGGACCTACAGGAAAGAGGGGCCGCATAGGGTGGGGTGCGCAGCAGGCCATGGTGAGGAGAGCAGGCTTTCTGAGGACACACAACAAGCTGGCTACCTGACAAAGCCCTGGGCCTTACGCTCTGAGAACCTCAGCTTCTTTATCTGAAACGGAAGACAATCTAAATGCTGATTTCATAGTGTGTTTGGGGGATTCAGTGAGTTCATCTGTGTGTAAAGGGCTTTAGCAGTAAATGTTACTTTGATAGCTGGGTTCTTGATTTTCTCTAGGTTGGAGAAAGAAGGGTCCTATCCTCTCCTCCTCTCCCGCTCTCCCAACAAGAACCTTCGGCTCCAGTTAGCCTAACCTCAACCTCAGTATTCTCCAGAGCAATGATCCCCCCCACCGAGGCCTTCTGGCCCTGGTTCCAGGTGCTCCCTGGGAGGCCAGACCAGCTGGTCTACATCCTTGAAAGCACCAAGACCTACCTCCCACCTGGTGACCTTGCCCTGACAGTCCCAGCACCCCGTCACCCCACAAGCCCCAGGGTCCCCAGCGGCAATCACAGACCACTCCTGGACAGCTTCGTGTCACTCACACCTGGTCTTGTCACGTTGTGGGTTAGCGCTCCATGGTGTCAGTGTTCACACCTGACTCTGCCACAGCTTTTCCCTGACTCCTCGGGCAGCTGTGACTAAGCGAGGCCCGTATGTGCTGCTGAAGCCGTTCTGAATGAGTGAGCAAGCCAAGTTCTGAGCATTAGACTGATGGGCTCAGGGTCTAGGGCCCGGGCTGCATGACTGTCAGAGTCCAGGCCACCTGCTGCTCTGCATTGCTGGTCAGTCAGGGAGGGGACAGTGGGAGTAAATGAGCCTTGCACCGCCTCAGCCAGAACAAAGGCATATGCCCAGCAGAGAGGGCCCACAGGCTTTCCATGAAGCTTATCTAGTTCAAAGCAACTGGGACCTGGTAGGAAAGGAAATAACCAAATGCATCCAGACTGAGACAGCAGTGCAGACCCTGCTGTACAGGCTAAGCTGGGGAAAACCTCGGAAATCCAGGCCAAGTGAACGTATGTCTCTGCTAATGTGAAAACAGTTGGGGCTGGGTATCTAATCACTGTAATAGGGCATAACCACCAATACTCCAAGAGACAGCCACTTGTCTGGAGTCCAGTCCAGGGACAGTTGGCCTTTGGGAGAGCAGTTCGAAAGCAGGACCCCAGCCAAAGCAGCAGGCAGCCTTGGGGAGGCACAGTGGACTACGCCACTGCCAAGCCAAAGACCGCAAAGCCCCAGGCCCCTGCCTGATTGGAAAGGACTCTCAGAGGGGACACAGGAGCCTGGCAGGTGTGGCCATCTTATTAGTGCAAGGCTGGAACATTCTTCAGCTTACCTCCTCGGGCATTTGCTAGTAGCATGATCTTCCTCTCATCTAAGCACAGAATCTCCAGATGAAGAAGAGGAGGCCGCAGAGGAAGGCTGTGGAGGTAATTAATACAAGTCCTGCTTCTCCCAGTGGCGATTCAAAAACGGGATGGCCAGAAGCCAAGAAGGGTGCAGGAGCCAGGGAAGGCAGAGGGTGGAAACAAACAGTAGCGACTGACCTTTCTATAGCAATGCACCCAAGAGTGGGGCCTGTCAGTCTGATGAACTATAGCAATGTCTTGTCTTGTTGGTAGGAAAATCCCCTAAAGTTGTGACCTGCCTAAAATGTGACCTTTAAATTTGATACCGATACCTGCTAAACACAGATCCCTTTGCTCTTCTGGGTAAAAACACCCCCAGCTGATTCTCAGGATGGTAGGGGCCTTGGATTCAAGGGGATAGGAGCCAGACAGCCAGGTATTCCAAGGTTTTGAAGCAAAAATATAGTTAAGCTCTGCCTCAGGAATCAGAAGGTAAGGAAATAATTCAGGAGGACTTACAATTGCCCTTTGACCCACTGCTACCCCCCTTCCCCGTCACCCAGCCTTAGTAGCCTAACATCCATAGGGCGTTCCTGGGATTCCATGCATCCTGGGGCCACAGCAAACCAAGGGCCCCAAAGGCACACACCTTTGTTTCTGGGTCCCTCCGTGGCCTCGCCTGCCCTATGGGGACAGTGCTGTCTGGAAGCTTGCCCTCCTTCCCTCATCTACACCCTCTAACTTGCCCTGAGAAAATCAGGTCACACCAGACTCCAGGGACAACATGGAAGGGGAGTAAACAAAGGTCAATATGCAGCAGGAAATGCAGGGAGGAAAGGAAATTCTTTCCTGTTCTTTGAGGCTAGTGGGAAGAGGCAAAAAAATTTTTAAGTGAATATGGGCCTCAGCTCCAGTATTAGGCAATATCTTCCATTGTAATGAAAAGACACCCACCTCTACCTGGCGTGAGCTGAATCGGTGCGCGTATCAGGCCTGGGTGCGTGGTCAGGACTGGTGTCTCTCCAGCATGTAGCTGGGCCCTCCTCTGTGTTGGCCCCACTCTGGCAGGCACTGGCAAGCTGGCCCCAGCAACGCCAGCTGTTAACCCTGCCAGCTTCAATTCTACTGGAAGGAGTTTTGGCCAAAGTCCCAGATCTGAGTCTTATTGCCTGGTTCGAGTTACAACGCCCACTCTTGGAGTCCGGAGTAGAGTCAGCTGTTCCCAAACGGCAAGAATTGCCAATAGGGAAACAGTGATTTTTCTAAGAAAAATCAAAATGCTGTTACTGGAAGCAGACAAAGCAACAGCTGACCACCACAGACCCCATCATCAATCAGTGGGTCACGATCCTTAATATGCAGACATCCAATGAACCACCACAGTAGGTCTCCGGGTTAGGTGCAGCATTTAAACCCACAGATGGCACGAGGAGCTTCTGACCAGCTCCTGGCTCCCTAAGCTCCTGAGTCAGTCCTACCCACCCTTGTCTCTTCAGTCTTACAACGGAGCCTGACACGAGCCGGTGCCTTTGACTTGAAGTACCTCCAAGGCTTTTAGAAAAACTGAGTTTGAGACAAATGAAGAAGGTTCAGCAAAAATTTCACATATGCTGAGTGTCCAAAAGAGGAAGAACCCCCCCGGAAAATTCTAGTTTTCATGATTCAGGGAATCTGATGAGTTCAGACTGAGATGGCTGTGATGAATACCAAGAAAACTTTGGTGCCTAGACTGTAATGGTTTTGCTTCCTGTGTGACAGGAAGTAGGTAAGAGAGAGATCCTTGGCCATGCACTGGGATGGAAGGATGGGAATCCAGGAGAAAGAGGGGACATGGGGCTGCAGAACCTGGTGTGTAAGGGAGTTCATGTCATCCCCTCCCGAATGCTGGAGACGGAAGACCTGCCAGTCAGCTTGTTGAGTTCATCCACCAAGATGCCAGACCCAGTAATAAACTATTTCATGAACTCCAAATTTCTGGCTAAATGTTCAGAGAGGGCAAGTGGAAGCAGAGGATAGGGATGGAGGGAAGTCAGAGGTCCAGGAACTATGGATCCCAAGCTTTAGAAGAGAAAATATGGGCCTTAGAGCGAGGAAACTAGATTTGTAGTGCAAGTAGCACTTGCTACGTACCAGCTGTGGACATGGGTTAAGTTACTGAACCTCTCTGATCTTCAGTCTCCTCTTCTCTAGAATTAAAATAATGAGAGTAACTCAAATTGTCATAGGCTCAAATACAATCATATAACTAAAACCCTTATCACAGTACCTGAAACTTCAGAAGTGTATGATCAGTGGTGGGTATAGACTCCACCTAAGACTTCTTATTTCAAAGGTTTTTGGGCATTTCAACACTTGTTCTGCCACAGGCAGCCTCAGAAACAGATGGGGGAGTCATTGTTCTTCCCTCCACTTCTTGGCTCAGTATCTGTGGCTTCCAAGGGCGTCAGAGACCCACGGCCCTATCTTCAGTGCTGGCAAAGCCCAATCAGCCCAAACCAGGCAGATGGCTCGTTCTGTCTCAAACACCTCCAGGTAACAGGTTTCTTGGCCTGCTTACTTCTGGAACGTTATTACTTAGGGTGCTCTTTCTTGTGACTAACTCCAAATTCTCCAGCATCAGCCACAGTTTACATCCATTCAGGTGTTCACTCATCTGTTAATTCATTCTTACTATAATAATTATGCTTGCTATTATGCTGGGCACCATGCCAGCTGTGGAAATACAAAGATGAGCAAGATGCCTGTGCCCTCAAGGAGCCTGGGGTCTAGAGTAAAGGAGGTGCATTCACAGACAATTATTGTTGTATACAGTAAGCACCCTGACAGAAGGCAGCTCTGAACACACGGGAGGCCCCGAGGGGCACCCCATCTGGGTTTGGGAGAGGAGGTTCAGGGAAGGCTTCTCGGTGGAGGTGACACCTGAGAGGTCATAAGCGACTATTGAGCAAGCAGATCTGAGTTATTTGGGGACTACTATCCCTCAGCCTTTATCACGCAAGAATTCTAACAGGTTAGTTAGTGTTGGGCTGATTATCTCATGGAGATACCATGTGCACTGGCCTGGGGTAATTACCAGGCAGGAGTTACAGTCCAATGCCTGAGATCTCAGGGTGACGGCAGCTTGGGCATTATGACCTCTTGGGCTGAATGACGCTCTTCGGTCCTGGAAGCAGGTGGCCCAGCTGGGATGCCCCACAGTGGCTACTGGTGCTCAGTGGCCAGTCCAGGAATGGAGGCCTGTGTTCACGGGGACTGGGAGTGGTGGCTCACTGGGAAAGTATGTGGAATCATCTTTTTCTCTTGTTGCAGAATCAGCCACTGCTGAATGGTGACGAGGCCCTCCTGCCAGGAATGTGGAAGGGAAGTGCCAGATGACCTCTGGAGGTCCCCTCGGGTCAGGGGAGCCCCGGCTTCAGGATCTGGCTCCCTATTTCTAACTTATCACAAAGTTCCTGGATGAAGGTGCTGCTGTTGGTCTTTCCCTCCCAGTAATTAGCCAGGTTCGTGGCACCACCGAGGAAAGGCGTGCGGTGTGTCCCACTCTGTGCTCTGAGGATGCGGGGAGCCCAGAGAGGCCCACAGGAGTGAGCAGCCCACAAAAGACCCCCAGCAGACCAAATAGAGCTCTGCAGCAATCGGCCCTGGTCAGATCAGCCACACCCCTCCACAGACTCAAGGAAGACAAGCTTTTCCTCCCCATTCACTGTTATGACCTCAACCACCGACTCCCAGGAAAACCAAGAAGACAAATGAAGCCGGAAGGGGGCATTCTGTTAAAGCAAGCCCTCTCCGTCTGTCGTTGGCCCTGGCGGACACCCTGTCCCTTGCCTGCACCTTCAGTTCCTGGAGACTGCGGAGCCTCTCAGGTAGGACTCAGGCCGCAGACGGCAGTGTGGGTGGGGGGCTGGGCAAGGCTCAGCAGGAGCCTTAAGATGCCTCGCATCTCCCTCGTGGTCCTTTCGTGTTTCTGCGTCAGAATTTTCAGTAGGAAGACTCAGGCTAGACCTGAGGCATTTACTTGTTGCTGGCAGAGAAAGGCAGGAATGTGTAACCCAGGGAGGCATCAGAGTCTTCCAGCCAGGGTGCTTCTGAAAAGGAGGCTCACCACCTGCTGAGCCTTCTGCAGGTCTGCTTGGAGGCAGGGGTGTGGCCTGAGTGACTTACTGAGAGCACAGGGGGCCAACTCCTCCCCGGCATCAGGCCGAGACCCCCAGACAGGCTGGGTGGTGAGCAGTGCTCACTGCTCCAGCTCCCCTTCCCTTCCCCTTCCCTTGTGGGACTGCACCCGACCTGCCTGCTCTCGCTCTCCCCGCCCCTTCCCACTTCCCAGGTCAGCACAGGGAACAGCTCTCACCTTCCCTCCCTCTTCCCCTCCAGTGAAGAGCCTTTGCAGGGGGCACAGACATGTTCACCACCCTCAGTTTCTACCTCGTGGCAACTGGTAAACTGCGATGGACACAGGCTCGCCAGACATTTAAAGCCGCTCCTTCCTTCCTGCCCCGGCCCCTCTGGGTTGGGTCTGGACACCACCCATTTCATGTGTCCCTTCTTTCTTTCATGGGGTGCAGAGGGGTAAGGGCACGGGCTCGGGGCCACAGCGACTGGAGCAGGCCCCCGCTCTGTGGCTCGTTGGCTGGCAGCCCTCTCTGAGCTCATTTCCCACCAGATCAGTGTAATGGCACCTCCTTCTCAGGCCTGCCGCAGGGGAAGGAGATCAAGCAAGGCAGCTTGTCCCTTGTTCGGCACGTAGCAGGGCTTAATAAATATCAGTTGGATGAATGACCGAGAGGTAAGTGCCTGACCTAAGCGCCTGCCCAGGCCCCAGTGGAAGGAAAGCCTTGGGTTCTCTGCGTCTGGGAGGGCCATGGAGATGGGGACACTGAAGGTGGCCAAGCCCCAAGGAGAATGGCCCAAGCCTCGCCTGCAAAGCAGATTGCCTTCTAGGTTTCTGTGGAGGCCCAGCTCCTGGGGCTTCCCCAGGTGAGGATGTGAGGGAAGGAGGATTTCTGGAATCCAGGACCCGGTATAAGCTGGAGAACGAACCAGAGGGGCTAGAATTCAGTTCCTAGAATGGAGGCAGAGTCCCCTGCTGCCTCTCCTGCCTTGCAGCTCCTCCCAGCCAGGGCTGTTCTCCCCGGGGCTCCCCGTACTCCCCACGTTTATGAATCCTGAAGCCTAAAAGAGCAGCCTGGGGTGTGCACGACGAGAAAGCCTAGCCTTGGGCCAGCAGTCAGAGGATGTCCGTTATATTCCTGGCGTACGAACTGTGAGATTTAAGCAATTCCGACAACCTGTCTGAACCTCAGTTTACCCAACTGTGAAATGGGAATAATAACTCGCACCCTATTCTCCCTACATATGGGGCTATTGCAAGGATCAAATTATATAGTCTACTTAGAAAAAGCACTTTGTACTCTGCAAAGTACTGTGCAAACACAGAAAAGCTACTGAAGGCTCTGAAACAGAACCTGTGAGACTGGACAGACTGTAAACTCTTCCTGTCTGGCATGGGGCAGGAAGGGTCCTGCCAACTTGGCTTTCCTTTCATCTTCATTTGAAACTTAACGAGCACTTAAGGCATTGCCCACACTCTAAATAGGATTAAAATGTTAAGTTAAAAGTCATCCCTTGTTTCCTCTCCACACTCCCTTCCTCAGCTCTGCTGAGCACAGCCATCAACCAAACGCTATTTTTAAATGGCACTAATTTGCTGTATACTGAAACAAATGAGAGACAAATATTTTGTTAGGAAAACCAATCACACACCAAACGAGTTAAAAGAAAACAAAAAAAACCTAGTTAATGAATTCAAAGTGAAATTAAAACCAAACCACTGTAGCTTCCGGAAAACAATGGTACCAGAATGAAATTGGAACAGCAAAACTGGCTCCCAAGTAAATCAAACTGATTCTGCATATCATCAGAGGCCCTGGATCAAAAATCCTTCTGGCCCTCCCCTCTGCTGGTTCTGGCTTTCCTGGTAGGTTCTCCCCATTTCACAGTGTGCCCCCAACATCCCTGGTGGTGTGAAGACGAGGAGACATCGGTGGCTCTCCTTCCCTCCGGGACGGTGCTGCCCACACCCAGGCTT